AGTTACCTGCTCAAGTACTTTACGAGCTCTTGAGTTGACTCAATTTAGTTACGGTCCACCGAGAGAGATAGACTTTGAATTTAAAAGAACATCCGCTATTACATATATACTTTACCTGTCTTATACTTGCCCATCGTGCCTTTCATCTATCGCACGACCGGATAAACTTTTTACTTACCATTACTGCACGGGAAAAACGATTACGTTCTGCTATAAAGAAAACAGGAAAAATATAAAGAATTACGTCTCAATCCGAATCCGAATCCAATGTCGATTTTTATTAGTTGTAAACTGATAAATCAAATTAACTTGATATAAAAGAAAAAATCTTGAATCAAAAACATCGCTATGAATTTTTTTTTACTTGAAACTAAAAGTAATTTTCTTGTTCAAGAATTTTTCTGCTTGATCTCAATCTGATCAAACTCTTCGAAATTATGTTCTTGGTTCAAGATTTCTCTTAAATCAATTTAATTTTTTTGTAAGTACAGTTTTTTCTTTTCTGATTTTAACTAAAATTATTTATTTTAAAAAGAAAAAAAATTATTGACTTTGATTCTAATTTTAAAAGATTTATTTAGGCTTAGATATAATTAGATTTTAAAATCCGTCAGTTGAATCGTTTCAAAGATACTTACTTACAAATTAAAAAAATAAAAAAAAAAAAAAATTATTTCTTAAAAAATAGTGTCTAATATATAACTAAAAAGTTTAAAAAAAAACTTGTTTTCTCAAAAATTAATTAATTGATTCTTTAAAAGATTCTAAAATGACATGGTTAATACTTTCCAGATTATAATTTTTCCTTTTTCAATTAAAAATTTTCCTTATGTTGGATTTCGATTCAGACTCAAACTCTCACACAGAAAAAAAATGTTCTTGAATCAAGTATATAATCTTGAAGAATTTAATATTCTTGATTTAAGGTAATTTTACTTGATTCAAGACAATTACCCTCTTCAAAATAATATTTTTGGTTTAAGAATTTTTATCTTGAATCAAGTTAATTTTTTTTTTTTTCAATGTAGCCATTTAAATAAATATATTTATTTATTCCCCTTATTACACTGCAAAAATAAAGTAAGTTAAAGTATCGATAAGTTTAAGATAATAGTAAAAGCGTGTTTACTATTTTTTCACTCCTACATGTGTTACTCGGCTGAGATAAGAGATGTTAAAGAGCTAAATATACATATTAATAGTGAATAGCAGGTTAGATTATCTGGCGCATGGTATTTACCTCGAAAGTTGTGAAATATTTATTAACCGAGGGAAATATTTTCCGGCTAGTGTTGGTACGGGACAACTGGAGTAAGAGCTAAAACAATAAAAAAGACATTAAAATAATTCGAGAGAGAAAGAGAAGATGAAAAGGAGATAAGTCGTCAGATAAGTCGACAAAGTTCTTGGTAATCGAGACGCAAGGCGAAACGAATTACTTCTTGGGCAATAAAACGCCTGTAAAACTTGCCAGGGAGACGTTACGTTTTTTTTTTTTTATTATTTTATTTATTTTTTTCCTTTAATCTCTTTCCATTCTTCCATCGGTAACGACAGAGTATGTGTTGCATATACGTATGAAGTATAACGTGCATTACACACAAAAGTATCTGTAAAATAAAAAAGATAAAGTGAGAGGAATGTGAGATGAGAAATAGAAGACGATGGGAGAAAAGAAGAAATAATAATAAGAATAAGAAGAAGCTACAGAAGGGGTGGAGTAGGAGGGCGAACACCTTTGCCACCCGTGGGATATGATTAGGCGAAAAAAACTTGGGAAAATAATAATAAAAAAATTTATGCAAGATCCTAAGCGGCTCCTTTTTTGATTAATAATCTCCTGTCGGTGCCTCTACTCTCTACTCCCTGCATGAGGATCCACCAGAGCCGTATTCCTTAAGGGAATAAACAGAGATAAAAGATAAACTTGTGTCTCACCTTTGTATCTGTAACCTTATGCATAAACTTTTTTTTTTACCTTTCAATCCTTCCTCAGATTTCATACAACACGAAACATCATTAACATCGTTAACGACTCCGCCCTCTTTTTATATTCAATTATTTAATGATAGGAGCAACACATTTGGATTTCTTTCTTCATGTGTATCTTAATTAGCTCTCGTGTTTTTGACCTAGAGTACAATTTGACATTTAATAAAAATATTACCTTTTTTTTTTTTTTTATAACTGAAGAGTTTGAAATAATTTATGGAAATTCTTTGCATTCCTGCAATGATAAAATAGCATTGATATATTGAGTAGTTTTAAAGAAAAAAAAAAATCGACAATTGTGAAGAATATATTTTGATGAAAAATGAATTTTTTGAAGCACATGTATCTTCAAAAAAATCTTATCAACACTGATAGAAGGATTTCTTAACATTACTGATGATTTCTTTGTATTTAAAAAATCATTTCGGTTGCCTAATTTTAAAACACAGTAACTGCAAAATTTTTATACCTGATTTTTTCTAATGTTGCATTTTTTATAACCTTTAGATCGCAATTTTAAGTATTTTAAGTAAAAATATTTATATTCAAGTATTTTCTATTAAAAAATCAAATTTTTCATCAATTTGGCGGGCAAACTTTTTTTTAATAAAAAAAATTTTTAAATTTTAGTTACTGTGTTTCGAAATTGGGCAGCCGATTTCTTAAACATCATTTCTTAGTATTTAACTAAAAAATATTTCTTAAATAATAAGAAATATTATGAGTACTAAGAAATATTTCTTAAATACAAAGAAATCTTCTTAAATACTAAAAAATCCTACATCAGTGAAGAATTTACTACATTTTTAATTTTGTTCAACATAAAATAATTCAGTTCCATAGACACACCTGGAGATGAACAAAAGAATACACAGGGGTGCATAAATAACGCTACATTTTTCATGCTTAGCTATTTTAACGTAGATACTTTGAAGAACTTGAAAAAATTCGACAAACTTGAAACAATTTTGATTTTTTTTACTGTTTATATAAACACTAATCAAACATTTTTATTATTAAATTATCTTTGATTATATGTATAAAAATTATTTTCACATCAAAATCAACGTATAATAGAGTAATTATAATTATAGAAGGTATTTGATCAATCAATATTCATTAACTTGGAATAATTGGATAAATTAATCAATATCTGATTGACTAATCAAATAACCAGTGATTTAAATTAAATTTTTTCTGTCTTTATCATAAATGTATTTGTATTATCATTATGAATGTCATAATTATTATTTGTAATTGCTATTAAGGATAGACTGATAAAACAAGTTGTATCGGGATGACATGAAACAATTAAAAGATTCTCAAAGAACATACATATAATAAGCTGGTCTAATAACTCTTATATTAAAAACAAAGTATTAAATGCCATCTGTTGATTCCTAACGCATATAATCCGATAAAAATATAGTTTAACAAGTTGATCCTCAGTGAGAAGCAAGAAGATGTCATGTTTCAATAAAAATAAATAGTTTATTTACCGGTTTCTCGCCTTTGGTTGTACATTAAACTTGGTACATACATAGAACCAACCAACCAGTCGAATGTATATTACGGACATTGATGCGATGGACAGGGTGTATAACATCCAGTACAATCTGAAGAAAGATTAAAAAGAGATGATAGACTAATATAATAATAAGAGACTCGATGGAGATGGGGAATTAAACTCAAGTAGTTGATCGTAGTGTCACTACGTCGAACCTTACCTCCTTCTCTTGATGGACCTCATCCTCATCTTCTTTTCTACCAGTTTTTATTCCAGTCACTCTCCCTGTCCGTCAGAGTTGTATCACGACTTGACCTGGCAAATTACTCGTTAACGAGCTACGGAAGGCCGCTTTACGTGTTTTGTATCAAATGGTTGTCTTTGCGAATAAACCACCTTTAAAAAGAGCATAAAGAGGATTTATAATAAAAATAATTTAATAAGTAAACTTAATGTAACATATGCAAAGATGAAAAATAGAATCCAAGCGCCAAGTTGAACGAAAAATAAACGCTGGGTACTATTCAAATCAGTATTGCTCATCAAGTTAGAAAATAGAGAACTTGTTGTGAGATTCCACATCCAATTATTCATTCTAATGTCTGTTCAGTGTGTTTTATTACTCTGGGTGAATAACCTCCCTTTGTGATACTTTATCGATCAATTATTATCAGCTTTCGTGGAATATAATCAACTATTTACCTACTTGGTTTATCTTCCAATGCTATTTATACATTATAACTAGGTTATTTTTGTATCATTCAGAGTAATTGGTTTCAATTTTCCAGCTTTAATCACGTTTATACCTACTTTTTTCACAAACACTTAAATTATGAATAGATAAAGCCAAGATTTCTATAAAAAATAATGTAATGTACTTGCAATAACATCTTAAATTTATATATATATATCTGCTGCGCTGATACAAATACTTTATTCATTCCTTCAATTCCTTTATCACTTGCATCTGAAAGAGTTTTTTTTTTTTATAGAAAAATATTTGGTCGAATAATATAGCAATGCTTATCTTTACGATTATGAAAAAGTAAACTTCTCCTGAAGTTACCATATTTTCTGACTATCTCTTAAAAAAAAAAAAAAAAAAAAAAAAAAAAATCCCATTTAAAATGCAAACTTTAGATAAATAAAATGTTATGATGTAAAATACATGAAATTTCATTGCATAAGTTTTAACTGTTTGGCGCTGAAACGGTAATTTAATAAAATTTAATAAGCAATTTTATAAAAACTCTTCTTTTGATGTTAAGTAACAAGCAATAATTATTTATTACATAATCTCAGAAGATACATTAAATTATTTTTCGATAAACTTATAATTAATTTAAAAAAAAAAAAAATGTTGTCTTTTCAGTCTTCGAAGAAAGCAGTCCAAAAATTGTTCCTGAATTTTTTCTCAGTTACTTTCTTCCTGTATCAAAAATGGCAATGCTAATTATAAAAATACCTCATTAAAAATCTTAAATTAACTCATTAATAATTAATGAATGTTCTTAATTACAGATATACAAAAACAGTTGTAGACTCGAGTTTAACAGCCCAAAGATATAATCCAGAATTTACGGTGATAGGTGGCAGCACAACAGGACTGGTGTCGGCTTATGGTAATTCGAATACCAGCGTCCTGATTGATCAATTGAGACACATAAATCAGGTGTGTAACTATTTAATAGTGTAATGTTAAACTTTGATATAAAAATAAATATTTTTAAATAAATATTGACTTAACATATCATAAAATTTATGAAAATGTTATTGACAAGAATGATATATGATGATGATGATGATGATGATGATGATGATGACGTTTAACAGGTGGTCCAATCGCAGTTGGCATCAGCGCCTGATAGTGGAGTTTTGCTGGCTGACGAGGCGCTAGACGGTTCGGGAAGCGGCGCCCGGCCTGCTTGGGGAAAGAATGATGATGGAGATATCGATGACGAGGATGTAGGCGATAACGACGACGAAGAAGCCTCTGGCTCGGGAATGGGTCCCACCACGACATGTAACTACACATTTACAGCTTCTTGCTTAATTAAATCTATCGATCTTTCACCACAAATTGGTTCGCTACACGTGATACTGATACTGATTCACCCCTGCTCATGTTTTTGATTTTTCAGATCCGCCGGGCACAAATGACCAGGGCAAGTCGAACGAGGTGCCGTCCAGCAGTTTCCCAGTAATCAGGCTCGATTTTATAGTGCTGCTTCTCAGCAGTCTTGCTGTCTGCGGTGCCTAGGGGGTTATTGACAATCCTCCCAGTACGGTAGCGTAAAAAAGATTAAAAAACTGGAATGATGGATGAATATAAATGTGTGCGAATGAATAGACCGAGAGTGTCAGAGAAAAAAGGCTTGAGAAGCAATGGAGGAATTGGAAAGAAAGATTCGCCCTTTTTTTTCTCACATTGCAACTGGGTGAAACATCAAAAAAGGCTTAAATTAATAAAATAACAGAAAAAAATTTAATGAGAGAGAGGAAGGAATTCAAGTTGAGAAATAAACGATGAAAGTAATCGTTTACTGCCCATCACATTATACGTACACAAGATTCTTTCACGATAATAAATTTAGCAGATATTTAATAATTTTCAGGATTTTTTTTAACAAATAAATTATTTTAAAAAAATTTACTTGTAAAAATTTTAAAAAGTTAAAAATGCAATTTTTTAAAAATAATTTTTTGGAGCAAATTTTTTTGTTAAAAAAAATTAAAAAATTCTCTACTGACTGCTAACTTTAATGTCACGATTCCTTGATTCAAACTCTCCATTTTCATCTTATATTATTATATACCGCATCCCTATACATATGATATACGTGTAATAATACTAATAATAATAGCAGTAACAATAATATTAATAATAATAATAATAATAGTAGGATGTAATGCATACATATACGTACACGCAAGCATAATAATTGAGCGTAACTCAGAAAGTCTTAACCCAGCATTCGTTGGGTGATATAATGTATGCCATATCTCAAAGTTAACTGCCAAAATGCCAATCGCGTGTGCAACAGAGTTTTCATCTTTTATAATTTAAATATTTTTTAATAAAAACAGCGAAGTTTCTGTTTTTGTTTTGGTTTTTTATAAACACATGACCTTGCTGTGTTGGTCATATTAGTCTCGCTGCGGGACGCGTGAAAGCATTAGCAGCTGCAAGACGAAAAAGGCCGGCGTCGTTACTACCTTCATATTAAATTCCTTTTTTTACTCTTATTTTTTTTATCTTTTACCGCGCAATAAGTAACCCGTAATATAAACTATTAATTAATAAGTTTATAAATAGAATACAAAGTCATGTATATCATTACATACGTGTTTCATGCTTACTTTCTTTCAATTATCGTGTTAATGTGAGACTAAATAAAGCTCAAGTGTTATATATTATATTGCTCTCTGGGCTATTTTTTATATTTATTATATCACTTCAATTAAATTCTATTTATTATTTGCTACTAGTTTAATGGATATATAAAAATAAATGCTTGTAGTTTTTAAACTTGTGCGGCGTGCCGGCGCGTCGGCCTACGGCGTTTGCCTTTTTCTATTGTTTATATTAATGAAAAAAAATTTTTTTTTTTAATAATATTCAATATTATTGACATTATTTTAATTGTAATAATTATTTAAAAAATAAACCGTGCCTTTTAAAAATTTATACTGGTGTGCCGCGCGTCATAAGCTTTTTTAGGATCACATATATATATATATAAATATATTATAGTTGTACAGAATATTCTTGCTGTATATATATATATATATATATATATATATATATATATATATATAAATATAAATATAAATGTGTGTCGTGTGTATGTGACTAAATTAAACAAATGCGTCAACGAACTCTTAACTTCTGTCATATTTAATTTGTATTAAATATAAAAAACCAGTGAACTGTAATGTGTAGTAGCTAGACATTTACCAGCCGTTTTTATTATTAAAAACTATATTTTACCAGACGTTTAATGTATACGTATATAAATTAACTCTAAGAAATAAAACAGAAGCAAAGGTATATTTAAAAAATAAAATAGAAACAATATTGGAATATTTAATTTTCGTTATATTAGGCCGTAAAGAATTTATAATCTCGTTAAAATTAAAACCAATTGAATTATTTATTGATATTAATAACAAAGTACTGTAGACTAAAATAGTTGATTGTAATTGTTGATTGTAACCGAGTGATGAATAGAAGAAAAAAAAAAAAAGTAAAGTGTGTAAGTGTATTAGTTAGATTAGGACGATGCGTGATCACTCAACGGATGCTGGCCCGTGATGATAATGATGAAGAAGACGAATAACAAAACAAAAAAATAAAGACGGCGATGGTGAAGATTAAGTATAAGAAGACAAAGAAAGAGTAACTATAACTATAACGTGGGACGAAATGATAAACGTTGGATCGGCTTTTGTCGTCTGCCGAAATTTAAGGTCCTCGACCTTTCCACTCTTCTCTCGTCTTTCTCTGGCTCAATTCTCGTTCTCACGAGAGCAAGAATCTTGACGTGATTGTAATGAGAATAATTCTCAATTGAATGACTTGAGCGACTGACTGTTTGTAGTGTTGTGTGAAGTTTATTGAAGAAATAGCTAAGAGATTGTACATAGAAAAGATGTGTGCCGTATTTATATAAATATATTGTATTAAATACTATTAATTAATTAATTATTCATGATTTATTGATTATATATTAATATTATTAATATTATATATTAGTTATTAAATTGTAAAACGTTTGACGATAAATTTGAGAGAAGAAAAAAATATTAATGATGATGATAATAATAAAAAGAACAGTCTGTTTTATTATTGTGGTGCGAATGGGGTGTGACCTCGTCCACGCGCGGCCTCGTTAAAGTCTCCCAGTGCTCCTCGCGTCGAAATCAACTACAACTGTCTTTTTAAATTCACTAATACGCACATTTGTTAGTATTGCTGATGACTGACTCTTCAATTCACTTATAACTATTTTATTATTCAAGTTTTTTATTTGAAAGACAGTTGTAATTAACATCTGCATTCTGCATACAATTACTAAAACAGCAGTTTAAATTTAGATAAACGAACAAAACTATTAAAATGCGCTTGATACTCTTCGATAGACTGTAATTTTATAATAACTCTCCCAGTGTATTCGCTCGATCAATATTAATTATCTACCAATTATTTAATAACTATTGATTTATTAATCAATTATTATTATAATTGAATTTTTATTATTTCTATTAACTATCATCTTCCTAGATATTAATTAGGCCACGTAGCGTTTGCGTAGATAGAATTTCGAGGCCTACTACTACGTTTGGCGGACGTCTGTGATTATTAACGAAAAGTAATAAAAAAAATAATAAATAACTATAATGAATGAGAATTATAACATGTTTAAAGCTATCAACTATAATGATAATAAATTCTAGGTGCTTTAAAAATGCTCTAGCTTCAGTAAAAAATGTCTTAAAAATTTTAAAACTTCAATATTTTGTATATTTTATTTCTTCTTAAAATTTCATCAGTTTGTAAAACAAAATATTGCAGTTTTTTTAATTTTATTAAAACACCAATACATTGTATATTTTATTTCTTCTTAAAATTTTATCAGTTTGTAATACAAAATATTGCAATTTTAAAACACCAATATTTTGTATATTTTATTTCTTCCCAAAATTTTATCAGTTTTTAAAATAAAATATTACAGTTTTAAAAAAAATGTGTCTTAAAAATTTTAAAGATTCAATATTTTGTTCATTTTATTTCTTTCTAAAATTTTATCAGTTTGTAAAACAAAATATTGCAGTTTTAAAAATTTTTTTCGCTAAAAAATATGATATTAATTAAAACTGAAGCTAGATTATTTTAAATTGCACTATCTACTATATTATTATTTTTAAAAATAAAGTAATTGCGTATTTTTAAGTATATTTTTTGTGATTGCTATTTCACAACTTTGTTGAAGTAAAGGATATGAGAAAGAAAGAAAGAAAGAAAGAAAGATAATACTTTTTTTAGTTTAACAACTGGTAACTGGTGGTTTATTCGAGTCAATTGGTTGTCATAAGGATCGTGTAAGCTTGATCCAATTTAACGCGGTATCAAGAAACGTTCATGGCAATTGCTTGCACGAAACTCAATTGATTGAGTCACGAATGAATCAGGCAATTTCATTTGTAAAGGGTATTTTTCACTCTCACCCTAGTTTATTGTAACACACCCGGTTCTTCCTTACTTATAACTCTCTTGTCTTCTCTACATACATATGTATACGTGGATAGTGTATATTGATATATAGTTTTATTGTTTCCATTATTTTTATCTTTCTTTCTTTATTTCAACATCGACAAATTATCAATAAAAGAGCGACGTAAACGTTTAACGCCCGATTTTACACCAGGCCCCAATACATATACGATGTCGTTTTTTTTTATTGCTTGTCGCGACGATTTCTTATTAAATCTAATAGACAAATCTAAAAAAATGGCATGTATAATGTTATCTACTATGCGAAAGTGTTGAATTAGCAAAAAGAAATGTAACTAAACAAAAATAACGTAATTGATTATTGAAATAATAATTATGAATTGTGAAAATAACTGTATAGGCGATTGTAAACATAAAATATAAATATATAAATATATAAATATAAATATTATACTATAATAAATGTTATGAATTATCAACGATTATTCTGTCAGTTGAAATTCACACGAATGATGTAAAATATTTATGATAGAATTTAATTAAAGTGAAATTTAAAATACTTTTTTCTTTTTAGTAGTTATTTATTTTATAGCTGATAAGTTTATTTAAGAAATTTTATTTTTAATTTCATAACTATTGACATTTTTAAAGATATAAGCTCATCCCGATGTTACACTTATCAAGAGCTTTCATTTGAGTACCCACATGCATATTTGATATATTTTTCATATATACATATATATATATTGTGAACTATTGACATTTTTCAAGATATAAGCTCATCTTGATGTTACACTCATCAAGACCTTTCATTTGAGTACCCACATCAATATTTTATATATCTATATATGTACATATGAAAAATATATCAAAAATGCATGTGGGTACTCAAATGAAAGCTTTTGATGAGTGTAACATCGGGATGAGCTTATTTCTTCCTTAATTAATTTCTTAATTATCTATCTTGAAATGAAATCTTGAAAATCCTTAAATCATTAAATAAAGTAACTGTAGAGAAGAATTTTCCATTTCTTTAAAAATATTTCACAGAAACCATTTAGATTAAATTGCTGGACGAAAAAAAAACTCATAGATAAAAAAACTTGGCGTTAAATTCATCTTCATCAGAACCTCCCACGTGAATTCACGTTCAGAAAAAAATGTTTACCATGACAGCTCTCGAGAAATCTTGAGAACCGAAGAAAAATCCGAAGTAGTTTTCTTAGTCATCAAAAAAACCCATTCAGTTCAAGACCTTTTCGATCACGCTTAATTCAATTTAACTTATGTTCCTCATACTTACGTCTCAATTTTTATTTTATTTTCCAAGAAGATATTAACGAAAATGAAAATTTTTTATGAAGTATAAATAATTTAATTAAAATAAGAAGCGAAGGTTTTTAGCAATAAAAAAAAAAAAAAATTTAAAATTTAAAATTGAATCTGAAAAAACTTTATTTTATTACAATATATTCTGTAGTTTAAAATGAAATATAAATACGTTATCAGTAATTAGTATATGAACACAGTCTTCGGTAAGTAATTGTTAACTTAACTTTTACTTTTTCAAACTCATTTCATCGTTTGAACACATCAAAAACGACTCAAAAATTTTAATAAGCGTCTCAAGGCCCTGCAGGTAATTACGATCAACTTCGTGTACTTCGGTAGGAAAAACATGAGTGAAATCGATCATTTTAACACGCACCCAATTGCGGTGCAATTTATTAGTAAGTTGATCTAGTAAATCAGCGTAGTCATCCTTCATTTCTATCATATCGCGTTCAAAGTTGTTATCAAACGAATGAGTACGGCAAAGTTTAACATTATTGTTATCAATATTAAGAAAGCGGTTGCTTCCATTGATTGAGTGATCAGAGCTGGATTTTTCAAGTGTGCTTTTTCCATTTATTTTCAAAAATTGATTCGACGCAGGGCTTGAAGATAACGGAGACATACATCTAGGAGAGCTGAATCCGCTGGAATACGCGCTGTGAGACGGTGATGAGAGGACCATCGGTGAGCCAACTCGTTGGTTCGAATCATACAGTCTTCCATTACATTCATCAGCAGATTCTTTGGCAATTAATTTTTTCAAACGCTTAGCATCGTAGGCGATTAGTATTGAGCTTGAGTAAAAACGTAAATCAGTTTGAAAACGGAAGAATGACAGTATTTCCCATAATGAAGCTAAGATTTGAACGACTAAGCATCTGCACAAGTGTCCTGAGGTGATGTTACAGAATGAACGTAAAACTGAAAATAAAATTAATTTTATCAATTAGTTTTTTAATAATCTATATTATTAAGAGAATGAGTAAAATTTTGTTGCCAGTGTATTTATATGATAAAAGGGGTTTTATGTAGAAATGACCTTGTATCTTGAGAACTATTGACATTTTTAAAGATATAAGCTCATCTTGATGTTACACTCATCGAGACCTTTCATTTGAGTACCCACATCAATATTTCATATATTTATATATTTTATACATATGTATATATGAAAAATATATGAAAATGAATGTGGGTACTCAAATGAAAGCTCTTGATGAGTGTAACATCGGGATGAGCTTATATCTGTAAAAACGTCAATAGTTAAGAAAGTACAGTGCAATTTAACATAATTAAGAAATGACCTTGTATCTTATGAACTATTGACATTTTTTAAGATATAAGCTCATTATGATGTTACACTCATCGAGACCTTTCATTTGAGTACCCACATCAATATTTCATATATTTATATATTTTATACATATGTATATATGAAAAATATATGAAAAATTGATGTGGGTAATCAAATGAAAGGTCTTGATGAGTGTAACATCGGGATGAGCTTATATCATAAAAAACGTCATTAGTTAAGAAAGTACAGTGCAATTTAACGCCATTATTTGAAGTTATAGTGAATAAATTACCTTCAAAAATAGAGTCAGGTTTCATTTTTTTCCCAAAATTTTTGTCAAACTTCTGTAAAACACCATTCATTACATCATAATACTGAAAGCCGGGAATACAAAATGAATGAGCCTGCTTCATTTCTTTGTACTTGAAATCTTCTTTCAATTTTTTAGCTGGACCTGCGAGAGGGTCCCAAGTACGTTTGCCAATTTTAATGTCCATTACACAAGGTTCTATCATTCCCTCGGTAATATCTTGCAGAATTAAAAACTTAAGAGCTATAAATATTTCATAATTAGTAATAATTAACTACTTACAGTCGATTCAGTCAATCGTTAAAATTTGACAATAATAATAATAATAATAATTTATTTTTTTTCAATATAAAACTCAAAGCAAAAAATCTCGAAGGTCATAACGGAGCACATTACCATGAAGGCTAAAGTTACTCCAAATGTATAAACAAATACTGAAATAACTTACGTTTTTTCATGAAAATAAATTCACCAGAGCCAAAATACTTGGGAGTTAATCTCGCTAAAGCTTTGTAGACTTCATTATCTGATGTTTTTATTTGCTCATAAAAGCTCTTTTCTCTTTCAAACAAATCATCTTTGATTCCAGGCTTGTAAATGTGGCCATTTTTCTTTAACATTCCTTTAAAAATAAATAAGTAAAAATAAAATACCAATATTTACATTTTAAAAATAAATAAATTATCAATAAAATTACCAATAATTCCATTATTAAAATCATAGGAATGACCAGCAACTTGTGACTCCAATAATTGCAATCCTCTTGGTAATTTAACTTGTCCATCTTCTTCAACAATATTAAGCTCTTCCTCCAGATGAAAAACATCATCATCGTCATGGAACATGTGACCCATATGCAACATTTCCATCTTTATAAAATTCTAAAATCAAGTACCGAAACCGCATTCACAATTTGACTGAAAAAAAAAAAAAAATACAGTAATTATTATTTATTTATTTTTTTTTTTTTTTTTTTTTTTTAATAATAACACACATGAATAAATAGTAAAAAAATAAATTCCAAATAAAACTTACATAAATAAATAATTAAAAATAAAATTTAAGGTTATAGGAGCATCTATTAGATTCCATACGCCAACAAAACAAACGGTCTAGAGTAAGCCACTGAAAAGTATGTTGTTATCATCTTAAATCAACTGACTCATTACCACTGAAGCACATTTTCAATGACAATTTTATTATTATTATTATTATATAGATATATATATCGCTCTTTACACTTTATGTACTAATTCGTTTCTTATCTACACGAGGTTAATTAACATTTCAACTAATTTATACTTCTGAGAATATATTTATAAAATGACACTTAATTGTTTCTTTTGTCCATTTATTTTATCAATAGCGACACTTTTATTGTTAATTTAAAAATATTATTCTTTTATCATTATTATAAATACACGATTGTTTTGATAAATATATAAATACACATAAATAAATATGAGATCAAAGATGGCGGTAATTATCCGAAATCCAAACAAAAACACGCGCCTTTTTTACTTCATCGTCTCATTCAGTAAAAACTAACCACACATTTGTCAGCTGTTTATGTTAATATTGACAAGCCAGCATAAAAGGTATTGTTTTATTAAAATAAAAATTACTGCATGATTTCCTTACTGTAACTGTATTATGTTATTAATATTTATTAAAAAATTGTTGTAATATTTATTCTGAATGTCAAACAAATTTCATGCTGTCCATTTAAGACAACGCGTGTCTAAATGTGTACCCAGACACTTTACACTACAGTATCTAGCTCCGCATGGAATACATGTGTAATTACTAGGAAAACCACAAACTGCACAGAAATGTCTTTCAGGAAACTTGGAAGGCGGTGCTTGAGCTGAAGAGTAATTTGGCGGGTTCGGATTATTGTTTGCGTCCTCTTCTACTAATTGAGCAAAAGTCTTGCGATAGCGCTGCTTGTAGTATTCTGCAGAGCGAGTTTTTTTCCTTCTGGATGCTCCGCGACCTTCTAAAGACTCTTGGAACTTGGGAACTTTCTTGCTCATAACTGAAAGAGTGATTTTAAATAAATTTTATCTAGAATTTTTTATTTTAACAATAATAATAGTACAAAAAAAAAGAAAAAAAAATTGTCATTTGTTAAAAACTTGAAAAATTGTAAGTGCAATTTTTTAAAAATATTTTTTTATTCTAATTTAATTATTAAAAAAAAAAAAATCAAAAAATTAAAAACGTCGACTAACTTTAGTATGATATTTTAACACTATTATTATTATTAAATAAAAATATTTACCAAGATCTGCATGAGGGTCATCATGAAAATTATCTTGCTCCAAAGCTTCTAAAGCTTTTCTTTGCCTTCTTTTCCGCGCAGCTTCATCAAGCATTCGCTTTTGATAAGCATCCTTAATTCTACCAGATTCTCTCCCAGCCATCTTCATCTTAGCTTAGTGTAGTATTTAAATTATCAACTAAATATTAATACTTATATTAAAAACAAAGTTAATTAAATGCTTAGGTTCCTTTGTCTGCTAAAGGAAAAGAAATTTGATCCATAAGGTCATCAACTTTAGCTTGTAGAGTTTCAATAATATCTGCTGATATAAATAAATGATTTTCGTCCAAGTCTTGAATGATAAATTTTTTTCCCAGAGCTTGAGTGTCGTCTAAGTGTAAGAGGAACTGTTTCATAGCAGGATCACTGGAAAGTAAAAATTTATAATTTATAATTAATTTAACATGGCGACTAAGCGAGTGAGCTTGGATGAAAAACGTTCACGTATGCTGCAATTATTTTATGAAAAGAGGGAATTTTTCACGTTAAAAGAATTAGAAAAAATAGCACCCAAGGAAAAAGGAATCGTTGTGCAGTCGGTCAAGGATATTGTTCAAGCTCTAGTTGATGATGGAATTGTTCAATCAGACAAAATTGGATCTGCTATTTACTTTTGGGCTTTTCCTGGGTAAGTTTGGGTATTTTTTCTGTAACACCGAATTTTAAATGTAATTATTTTTGTTTACAGAGAAAATATTACAACAATCGAGAAAAGAATTGCGGAGACGGGAAAAAATATCGTTGCAGCAGAATTCAAGTTACAAAAATTAGACGCTGAATTACAAAAACAAAAGGTACTTTTTATTTATTTAAAATTAATGACTATTTTTTAATTTTTTTTTTTTTTTTAAACAAATACATTTTTTCCAAAATTAGATTAAAATTTTTTTTGCCATAATTTATTTGTTAAAAAAATTATAAAATATCTGTTAAATTAATTTTCATTTAAAATTAATAAAAGCAAATGTAATTGTTAGGAAGAAAAAACAAATATTGAACAAATCAAACAAGTATTGGAGCAATTGGAGCTGCTAAAAGCCAAAGAAGCCGAATTAAAGTCACAGGTCGCCAAGTTCAGCGAGTATGATCCTGAAGTGATTGAACAATTGTCCCAAAAAACTGAGGTAATTTTAAAATTAATACAATTACCTGTCTTAATATATTGCTCATTTAATTTATTTATTATTTTAGAAATATAAAGAAGCAGCAAATACGTGGACGGATAATATTTTTGCAATCCAAAGCTGGTGTAAAAACAAGTTCGATATAAATACAGAGACTCTCAACAAACAGTTTCGTATTCCAGAGGAACTAGACTACTTGGAATGACAGATCAGCTTAAAATTTAATTAACAATTACACACTTACCATTCTACTAAAATTCCTTTAATAACATTTACCATGTTGCATTTAAATTAATATTTTTTTTTCTGACAGTATTTGTGTTTTAGGTTAAGTGTAAATTTATTATCCTTTTTAATAATTTCAAAAGTTGCCACCAGATGGCTTCAAAATACCGCGAAAGAAAAATACATTTTAAATAATTAATTCATTTATAATAAATAAAAAAAAGTTTGTAAAATTAATTTTAAGAAATATTTTTATTACAAAAAATATAAACATTCATTTTATAGTTAAATAACTTGAGTGTTATTATATAATAATAATAATTAAATTATTTAATACACAATTATTATTAACAATCTAACACTTGGTTTTAAAATATACAAAAAAAAAAAAAATAAGCAAACTAAAATAAAATAATACTTTTATACAATTTTTTCAAGTTATGTAATTACTGAAGTAACATTATCATTATTTCTTAAGACAATTGTATCTCCATTAGCGTCTGTGAAGGGAAGATCAAGCCCAACTTCAGAATCTGAATCCGTGATACCAAAAGAAGAAATAAATACATTTAAAATAGTAACGAGAAAAATACCAATAACTGTCCAATTGTTTGTTTTGTTAGCTTTAGGAATTTGTTCGTCTTCTTTAACATCATATCTGCTGTTCCAGATGAGCCCAATGCCAACAACAATTTGGAGGAGCAAGCTCAGTACAATCATAGCCAGAGAAAGATAATGAAAAGGATGGTTGGTGTACTGCATGACATAGCGAAGCTGATTGGCGTTTGCGGATATCAAAGCGAGGTCCATCATACCTTGGGCCAAAGTTTTCTTCTGTTGATAAACATTAACGTCAAACACAGAACCAACAACTGATCCAGAATTGATAGACGGACGCCCGTGCCCGTCGAAGATAGTGTCATAAACATCCATATAGTCTTCAGGATCATCTTCAAGCCTGCTTCTTCTGTTCCTATTGGCGTACAGTTGAACGTCGTCTGATCCGTACACAGGTCTAGGCACTAATCTGTTGCCCGCTTCGAGAAAAAATGACGGACGGCGATTTATCGGTACGTTTTTATTACTTCTTGCACTCACATTGTCTTCTTTGGGTTTTTGGGCTTGGCTATTGTGAGTACCGGGAATTTCTTCCATCGGAATAACAGTTTCATTGGTACTATTGTCAAAAACTTTATTTAAATTCATTCATTAATTTATTATTTATAAACACGTGTTAAAACTAAACAGATAACTTCACATTACATTTGTTTTTTGTCTTTTTTATTTCTCTATTAAATTAAATATTTACTTTCAGCTCTTCTGACTTTATAAGACTAAATAATAGATTGCGTGTACAAATGGATAAACGACTAACGCTCTGTCATATGTTATCAAGGCCAGTAGATTACTCTATATAGTATTGAAGGCGAATAAACCAGGTTGATGGACGATCTAATGCCAGATCGCCAATAAATTAAATATTAAGATTAAATATATAAATATACATCTATATTAGGTTAATTATTGTAAAACTACCAACCTTGTAAATTAATTTTGCTTTATTAAATAATAATTTTTATTAAATTGTACTGTACTTTTTTAATTATTGACGTTTTTAAAGATATAAGCTCATCCCGATGTTACACTCATCAAGAGCTTTCATTTGAGTACCCACATGCATTTTTGATATATTTTTCATATATACATATACATAATATATATATAAATATATAAAATATATGAAAAATTGATATGGGTACTCAAATGAAAGGTCTTGATAAGTGTGACATTGGAATGAGCTTATATCTTTAAAAATGTCAATAGTTCACAAGATACAAGGTCATCTCTTAATTATATGTCTAAAGATAGAGCATTTTCGAAGGCAGCCTAAATACTTATCATCATAAATTGGACTATTGGTGAGAATGATCTAAAACTGGCCACAAAATTTTGCTTATTATCTTAATAATATAATCGATAATAAATTTTAAAATCCAACATAATAACAATTTATAAATATTTATTAAAAAAAAATTGATTCTATCTAGATTATTCATTGAGAAGAGCAACATCATGAGTATAATAGTCTCTTTATGTTTTTATAAAATCACCAACTACGACGATGGATACTTAAGAACCATTTTTATCATTTCAGGGACACTCGTCAGTACTTAACAATTATTAAATAGTTTGAATGACGTAAGAAATATAATTATTTAAAACAAAAAATATGTATTCTAGGATCATTTTCATGTTAGCGTAGGATATTTATAAATAAATTCCTTTGTACTCATCAGCAGTGCATATAATAATAATAATAATAATAATAATAATGCCAATAGTATTGAACTATTCTGGTTGTCAAGTAAACAACCGCCTCTAGCCCCTTAAATTCTCTGGCATTCCTTCAGTGTATCGAGAAAATGGGTCGAGACGATTAATCGCTGTTTACTTTTGGTTTGATATAAAAATATTCAATTATAAAATGAATAGTTATATAAAATGTTTTAAAAATAAAAATGCAAGCTAAAAAGTGTTGCCTTCACTGTCCTGGCACATGGGTATCTTCCCAAGAACGTGAAGAGCACACGTGCAATCTTCCGACTTACATAAAAGGAAATTTAAAGGTGTCGTCTTTGAATAAATACGTCGTGGGAGAAGAAGAGCGCTCTGAAAGATTGCGGGGTTGTCCTAAGAAGCCTTTGCCGACAGGAGAAAATTCTTGCTACGACAGGTTCGCAATAGCGAAAAAATTTCACGCTGAAAACCTTCAACACCAGCCGCTGCCAGACAAAGTTAACGATTCAGTGTTTAAAAATGTAAATGTACGTAAAGTTGAAGAGTATTCGTTAAAGAGTGAGGATAAATTAAATAACAATGAGCGTAGACGGTTACCGAGGTCAAGGAGCTGTCATAAATTACAAGCAGGCCTGCAATATGCTCCGGCACTGGGCTGTAAAACTCCCACGACGAATATGGATCTGGCGATATGTTGGGAGGCGCCAATTGATCCTTGCTACGAGCCTCCACGTCCTACGCACATTGACGGATCAGAAGGTGGTCCAGCCCCGGCGATATTCACTCTAGTTCAGCGTGAAAACGGGCAAGACGTCGCTCACAAGTCGCCTATGGAGAGATTCGAAGCTAAGTTTAGCAATGTTAAGAGCCGCTGTCAGTGTAATCGTATAAAGAATCATAATTGCAGAGAAGACAATGAGACTCACTGTGGTGGGTGTCAGAATAATGCGCAACAGCCATTAAACAATCAACAGAGCCCAGAACTCAACAGCAAAGATAGAGATCTCTGCGATAATTTTCAATCTGTTCATATTTCCCAGGATCACAGAATGGTTAAATCAGGCTGCGATTTTAAGGCACGACGCCAGCCGGTGCATTTGAGAAATTGCTCACCGTGTCATTGCCGAGGTGACCGTACCAAGAGACCAAGGTCACGGTCTATACACTCCGCGCCTGTGTATCAAGGCAACAGAAATTTTAAACGCAATGGATTGCCCAATAAATTGACGGTACCAAGACCAAGGACTCCTTACGCCAAGAGGGATTTTTGCATTGATACTCTCACACCGCCTTTTAGTATTGTTGAAGGAACTAGGGATTCTGAGTATCCAGAGCACTGGAGACTTACTTCGGTTTATCAACAATCTTACAAAAATCCTAAAAAGTTATGAAATATCATTTTTAATTTAATTTATAAAATATTTTGTTATACTGATAGAAGGATTTATTAACTATTAATAATTCAATTTATTTCAAGACAATTATTTAATTGAATAAATATTTTTTAACATTCAATAAATATTTATTATAATAGTTAGCAAATGTTTAATAATAATATGAAAATTGTTTATAAACAAAAATCATCTTTATAAATTATTTGAATTATAATTATATTACATTATAATAACGTTTATTGTAAAATAACAAATTCTATTATTACAGCTTATAATTATTTTTTATATTTTTAAATATTTAAATATTAAAAACTTTAATTTATTCAGTGAATTTAATTATTATCATGTATTCTAGCTGTAGAGTTATAAAAAGTGTCAAAAGAAAATTGCTATTTTTGCTTTTTATTTTAAATGTTAAATATTTGTTAATTAACTGTTAACAAATATTTAACATTTAATAAATAATTTATCAACTATCAGTTAAAGTTTATTAAATATAAAAAAATCCTTCTATCATAGTGTAGATATAGAAAAATTTAGACTGTGATCACCTTATTTTGTTAGATAAATAAATAAATAAATAAATATGATGCTATAACTTTGACTCTTCTTTAGTATCCTAGCTCAACTACTGAGTCATTAGTCATTATATATATTAATATTTATCGAAGTAGACCCCTCGCTCTTATGCAATGTCTCGCACAACAAAGATTTGTCTATTTTTTCAATGGTTAATTTTTGTAACCGGCTGACTAGATTTGGATAGACGCTTATTGTTTTTATAAAATCCTGTCGCTTCAAAATGTAAACTTCGGTTGGCTCGAGAGCAATTACTGAAGTCAAGCGTTTTTCGTTTTCCATCACCAGAGACACTTCTCCAAAATACGATTTATCTTCTAAATTACATACTTTTCTTTCAGATGATGTATACACTCCAACGGTACCAGTTATTATGTAATATAATGCGTCACCGATGGTACCAGCTTTTACCAATACGTCATTGGCTAAATATATTTCTGACGTCAAATGCATTACGACTTGTGGTAAAATTGACGGTGGTATATGCTTGAAGAATTCTACTTTTTCTAATAAATTTCTGCAGTTGTACATTATTACTTCCTGTTAAATTAATTATTATCAACAACGATATTAAAAAAAAAATCAATAAATTAGCAGAGACCCGAAATTTTTTTTTTAATTTATGATATAATTAAATTCAGAAAGAAATTTATCCAATTAATTTTAAAAAATTTTGATATAAAAATAAATACTTCTCGTAAGTTTGGTGAAAGATTTGAAGTAATAATTTTGTCCTTTTTAACGCTCTTGTTAGACCAAAAATAAAAATAAGTTAAAATCCGCTGTTGAATATGACGAGGAAGTTCTTTGTAACGCATATACTCTGTTAATTGTTGCAATAATTTAACATTCTTCTTCTTTGTCGAATAAGACGTTGACATGAGTCCGGAAAATTGTGCTAAAAACAGCGCTAATAAATAACAAGTCATTGAACCTTTCTTTAACAAAAGTAATTACAATTACCAAGTATGTAAATGATACCGATTCTACCCAGTATCGTAAGAAATAAATTCAATAAAATATCATCAATTGTTTTGACGTCCAAATGGTGTGAGCCGCCTATCAAGGCTATTGTAGCTCGATTGGCACCAGCTATATATTTCTTCAGAGTGGTGTTTCTACTTTTCAGCAAATCTGATGATATCCAAGACTCATTTGATGCTAGCAAGTTTAATTGCTTGGTAATTATCGGGATGTACCATTCTAAGCAAGCCGCCCAGTGAATGCATGTGAATATTATGATTAACATTTCCAATATTTTGTATTTTTTAAATGATATTTGATGAAACTAAATTGAAAAAAAATTAAGGTGTAATTATTGGATATTTATTTATAATAATAATAATTTAATTATTATTTATTTAATAATAATAATAATAATAATTTAATTAATGAAAATTAAGTTAGCCGACATTTAAAAATTTTTAGAATTTTTTTTTTATTAAAAAAATTATTGCAAAACAATAAAAAAAAAATTTCATTTGTAAAAAACTTCAAGTGAAATTTTTTGAAAATATTTTTTTGTTCTAATTTAATTATTGAAAAAAAATCAAAAAACTAAAAATGTCGGCTAACTTTAGTATTATATTTAATTATTATTTATTTAATAATAATAAATTGGTATTTAATAAATAATTTTTTCTCACATTACGAAACCGACGTAAATATACAATCAGATTTTTTATACGAAATATCGTGAATATATTAAACAAAGTCCAATATTTCATAGAATCATGATCATCAGATAAATATAAAACAAGAACTTCAACTGGGAACGCTGATAATATATCTGGTATAAAACATCTTCTTATATATTTTCTAAAACGGGAGATAATTATCAGCTTTCATATTTATAAATGCAAGATAAATTATAATTTTAAATTCCTACCTGGCAATATCTTTCCTATCTAAAATAATTTCTCTCGTAGAACTTTCAAAGTGTCCGGTAAAAAAATTAAGCAAGATATCAATTAAAAAGAGTATATTAATACCAAAGATAACATAAATCCACTGATAAAAGTCGAAGGCGATGACAAAGGGAATTAACATCAAAGAAAATAACGTCAAAATAATAATTAATGCTTCCCAAAAGGTCCGGAATTCGCTGAAGGGGTGAATCATGCACGGGTAAATATTAATATGGTCATTAATCTGGGATCTAATAGCCGCGTTGCTTTTTATCCAAGTTTGGGTGACTGGATGGCTACGTGACAAAATGCATCGCTTCATGATCCATCGTTTTATGTAATTAATGCAATTATCATCGGGATGAAGCGCTCTCACTGGGTCTGGTTTGTCTTCAAGATGACATTTATGGACAACTTTCTTGTGCTAAAAAATTTATGACACAATTATTAACTTTTAAATTTTTATTCAGTAAGTATCAATCAAATTGCGTAATACCAGGTTTTTTGGAAGTTCAGCAGGAACCAGTTGCATCAAGTCCATAATTACTTGAAAAAAATTATTACAATATATTTAATTAATATGTTGTGTGTAAGTATAAATGAAAATTAACTCAGCAGATATTTAATAATTTTTTTAACAAATAAATTATGGCAAAAAAAATTGACATTTAAAAATTAAAAATCATTTTTTGGACCAAATTTATTTGTTAAATAAAATTAAAAAATTTTCAAGTGACTGCTAACAATAATTTTATGGTATAAAATTATATGAAAATTAATTTAGCAGACATTTTATAATTTTAAGAATTTTTTTACCACGAATAAATTATATAAAAAAAAAAAATGAGAAAAAAAATTGACATTTAAAAAATAAAAAAAAATAAAAAATGCAATTTTTAGAAATATTTTTTTGGAGCAAATTTATTTATTAAAAAAAAATTAAAAAATGGTCAAGTGACAGTTAACTTTAATAATGAAAATTAATTTTAGTAGACATTTTATAATTTTAAGAATATTTTGACTACAAATAAATTATATAAAAAAAAATTGACATTTAAAAAATAAAAAAATGCAATTTTTTAGAAATAATAATTTTTTGGAGTAAATCTATTTATTAATAAATAAATAAATAAATTTATTAAAAAATAATCAAGTGACTGTTAACTTTAATTTCATACTTTAATATTATTAAAATTATAAATTAGGTAATTTGCAAAATTTATTATTATTTTTATTATTTGTTAGTAAACAAAGAACTTTTATCACCAGGGCCCTCTTAATTGCAACTACGGTACTTACAAGCATGACATACAGCTGATATATTATTATATTGTATAGAGCGAATAATACAAGTCAAGTCAGCTGATCACATTACGATGTAAATCATAAGTAATGCGAAAAAAAGATCGTGAACTTGAGAGCAAGTGAGAAATAAAACGTTTTTGTTTGGATTTGTTTGGTTTGGTATAAGTTAAGTATATATACTCTTTATACTATATACAGCTCCAGTGTACCGTACTCTCGCGATAAGAGTTTGACATCATAAACTCAACTTACTCCAGTTAAGTCAGTCTTCCGTCAACTGTAGACACGTGTCTTAGGGACGCTATGGCTCTCGAAGATGCTGAGGATTGGGTCGATGAAGCTGCACATTTGCCCATAGAGGTGAGTTAATAATTAATTTAAAGCTTTGTGAATTATTTTTCACCTGATTTTTAAGATGACATTAATGTGTTCTGGCTGATAGGTGATAATGCACATCATGTCATATCTATCGGTATCTGATAGGATGGCTGCTGGTCTAGTGTGTCGTGAATGGCATGAAGCTTCGCTCAGTACCAAGTTTATAGACAAACAAGCTGTAATTATTAGTCGTGAAGATGACAACATGCATCTTGTGATGAATACGTTGTTAAAGTCACAGAGACCTTTTCATCATTTTATCTTCAAGGAAGTCGAGATTAAAAAAAATTTACCTATTTGGGATAAATTTGGTGGAATAATACGAAGCTTAATTTTGGTAATTTTAGATTTTATTATTTAATAATAATAATAATAATAATATTAATAACTGGAGATTATTTATTAGTTTTAGAAGTGGGACATGTTTTTTAACATAAAAGTTTTAATCTCGTGAATTGATAAAAAAATTGTGATTAAATTTAACAGCGTAAATTATTATCTGGCTAATATTAAATTTAAAAAATGAAAATGTTTGTGAAAAAAAAAAAAAAAAAAAAAGATATAAATAGATAAAAGTCATATTTAAAAAATTTTTTTTACAAATAAATTATGGCAAAAAAAAAATTGACATGTAGAAATTTTAAAAAATTGAAAATCCAATTTTTTAAAAATAATTTTTTGGATCAAATTTATTTGTTAAAAAAAAAAAAAATAAAAAAAATAGTCAAGTGTCAACATATGATCCCACTATATAAGAATTAATAATTTGTTTGTTAACTAGGTTTGCTGTGATTTAAGTGAAAGAACGCTGGTCTCGATATTAAAATGCTGTGAAAATTTACGTACATTGCATATAAACGCCTGTAGAGAATGTTTAATGTCAGGAAGACTGTTGGACGATAAAAAAGACGTAAAAGAATTATCTGATAACTTCCAATCGTTGCTTGAACTGAGTTTAGCGTCGAACAGATATCTCAGTGACGCACTTTTCAACAGGCTTGTGTCTATTTGTCCAAACTTACAATCTCTTAGTCTTACAGATTGTCAAATATCATTTCATTCTGGTGTGTACAAGCGTTTTTACCCACACAATTCAATCGAGCAGGCCTCGGAATCTTTGTTGACGTTTTTTAATGTCCTGATGTACGTAAAGAGACAAGCGAAAAGACTGAAGCACGTGAGTTTTGGGTCAACGCTGATAGACAGCACGGCTTTGAGCAGTTTGGCAAGCGTTGAAGGATTGAAATTGGAGTCGCTTAAACTGAGATCTTGTGATCAGCTCACCAATGTAGGATTACGGAGTTTAACTCGTCAAATAAGTCTTAAGGTGTTGGATATAAGTTTTTGTACACGAGTTACCGACCAAAGTTTAATTTGTATTTGTCAAAATTTATTTAATCTAGAAAGTCTTAATGTGAGAAGATGCCGTGCAATCACCGATTACGGTGTGACACAAATACGTTTATTAAAAAAATTAAAAGAACTTGATATTTCAGAGTGCGAGCAATTAACTGGTGCGTGTATTACTCAAGGTTTGTCTTTGCAATCTATTGACAAGAATGAATTAACATTCACGGCGGATAATCAGGATCTAGAAAATTTAAATGCAGATAAATTAGATGCACATAATTATAATGATACTGATGAATCAATTAAAGATGAAAATTATCCTAGCGTGCTGAGTTCTTCAGACAATTGTTTACAAACATTGTCGGCAAACGCTTTGAATTTAGATGAAAAGTCGATTGAGTGTATCGCTAATTCGTTTCCTAAGCTGACGTTTCTCGACATCGGCTACTGCTTCAGTGCAGTCAATGACAAAACAATCCAGAAAGTCTTCAAAGAGCTGACATTGTTGAGAACGCTGAGAATAAGTAGGTGTGACAAAGTTAGTGACGCAGGATTGACTGGAATGGGCGCGGGGAATCGTATTAATAATGCCGACTCTAAAATAGAAAAAATAATCCCGGAGCTTACGGACTCTAGATTAAAAATAAGATTAGGCTCGAGGGCTGAGGAAGAAATAGTACGGGACGCTTATAGAAAAAGAGAAGTTATGGAAATGTGTGAAGATACTACTTCACCTTGTGAGCTTGATATTTTTTCTGGGTTTTCCTTAATCCGGTTGAAGGGCTTGAGAGAACTTGATTTTACGGGGTGTAATAAAGTCACTGATGTTAGCTTGAAGCACGCATTTACGTTCCCTGAGTTACGAGTTCTTGATCTAAGCATGTGCCAACAGGTGAGCTCTTATTGATGGAAATAATTGTAAATTATATTTGTATGAGTCACTATGAGTATATTATTTTGTTGATTTTCAGATAACACATGTGGGACTTGATTATCTCACTAAGAATAATCAAGCAATTGAGGATCTTAATCTTTCACAGTGTCACAATGTCACAGACATTGGAATATTGTACATTGCTCAGAGATTATATAGATTAAAACGTCTTCAAATTCGTGTAAGCTTTAGGGGCCATTTATTAATTACGTAAGGATATTTAGTGGGGGGGGGGGCGGGGGTGGAATTCATTCTTACATATTTCCATGAATTAATAAAATTCAATATTAAAAATCTAATTCCATTTTGGATTCCAAATAATTTTCATAATTTTAAGGTGTACAGCCGAATTTTCATTTTATTTAAATAATTTTTATTGTTATCCGTGTTTGGTTTTATAGAAAAAATTGCAATACATTTTTTCGTGTGATATCGTATTTTTATTATTTAAAAAATAAAAAACATTTCTTCTTAGAAATATTATTACTTGTTAAATAATCAAAATGATGAATCGACTTTGACCTGTAAGTTTTAATGAAACTGATCCTTTCCTAACATAACAGTTTATTATTTAGAAGATCAAGATAAAATCTTAAGTAAAAAAGGAAAGGGAGAATCAAAAGTCACCAAAATTGTCCTTACGTAATTAATGGCCCCTTATATTATTTTTTAATGTGATTTTTTTTATAAATATTAATTATGGTTAATTTATTTCAACAGGGCTGTTCTCAGCTTACGGATCATAGTCTGGCTGGAATAAAGTCATACTGCAAAAATCTTCAGTATTTAGACGCTAGTTATTGTCGCGGGATAACAATGAGCGGTATTGAAAGTCTATGTTCTCATTTACACGTTAAATTTTCTGAACAACTTGATAGTTTAAGTAGCCGAGATGTTCCAGTTCCACCGTTAATACGCAGATAAACGTTAACTTAATCCGGAATATAATTCCGTCCTCTTTTAATGTACAACAATTCTAGTGAAGAAATATCGATTCATATTACATAAAAGTATTTATTAATTATTAACTATAAAATAAAACGTTTTGCTAATTTAACATTAAAAGTATAAATTTTTTTATTTATTGAATTTGTAAATAAAAATTTTATATAATAATATTTATTACAATGTGCCTTGTGTTACAAGGATAAATTTAATAATAAAATTATCATTTCTAACGTTATTTATTATTTGTTACTTTTTACATTTTGTTATAGTTATTAGATTAATAAAACTAAACAATCAAAAGTATACACACAATAATTAAACATCTAACGTTTTATTATATTTATGTAATAGTAATTATTATTATTAATGAATAACTTAAGTGAAATTTTTTAAAATAAATTTTCCTTACTCATCATCTTAACTGACATTACAATTTTTGTTTATGTAATCAGTCAAAATAATGTGATAATTCAATACAATTCCTAAATATAATTATTTACATTGTTACTATGATTCCATTACAAATTATATAATTTTGTATTTTTAGAATTTTAATGGTTGACAAATTTGAAATTATAATCTATGTTGTGTAAAAAAATAATCAAATAGTGTAATAAAAAATTTTTATCATTTATTAAACTTGCAATTATTTTTCAAACAACAATAGAGTTAAGCATAACAATTATTATTATTATTATTATTTCAAAGTTACATTAGAGTTCCACCATTTTTAACGTAAAAAACATTATTTATGTATTGTAAATAATACATTAATTTAGTTTTAGCTTTATTTCACGTTAAACGCTATTACAAATGACCTACTTTATAGTTTTGCTATCAGATCATATAAATATTACTCGCTAGTTATTTATTAATTGCACGGACATGGTATTTAGAATAAACGCGAAAATAGTTATTTATATACCCCTATCCAAATATTTGACAGTATTGAAACTAGTAAAAAATAATTATTGTGATTATTGATAAACAAATTCCTACAGTTTTTATAAAATTATATAAGTAAATAATTGAGGATAAATTTTATTGCTATTAATGTTTCTTTATTTTATATAAGAGCAAAAAAAATAAGACAGTAATTAAAGTTTGAATTGATGTATTAAAAAAAGAAGATAATAGAATTTTTGATTTATTTTTCTGATTTATCAAATTTTAAATTCATCCAATTTTCTTTTTGATAATTTTATTTATTTCAAGTATAAATAATTTATTTCAGTCCAAGTTATAATTAGATGTTACATTTATCAATAATTTAATCATGATAATATTAAAAATAATACATCGTTGAATGTAAGTAAGAGTATAAGTAACGAAAAAAAAAATAAAATGTTCCCTGAAAAAATTTTTGATATTTTTTCTCAGAAAGAGAAACTTATACTCTTCCAATTATAATTTATAATGCACCTTTTCAACAAAATTTTTGACTATTCAAATTTGTACAGAGTAAATAAATTTAATGACGTAACCACTATCTAATAATTAAATTAATTTGCTTTACAAATTCTTTTTTTTTTTTAACAGAATTTATAGTTATTTTAAAATCTATCCGATTATTTTTAGTATAAATTCTTGTTTTATTTTTTATAGAAGTGCAAAGGTATAAATATTTTCATCGTAATTTTATTATCTACTCAGTACTTTGAATATTTAAAACTGCCTTTATTTTTAATATGCTACCAAAGTGCGTTCCACGTACTTGTAAATATTACTTATATAGACTTAACGTAGTTATTATGATAATATTGTTTATTTATTTATTCTTTTCCATTAATTTCAAAAGATGAGTTTATTATAGACAGCCTTATCCGTCAGTTATTCTTCATAAGCTAAAATTGAGAAAAATTATTAGTACAATTCACCTGTCATTGCCTACTATTTTTTTTTTTATATAGTCTTAAAAGTCAAGATAAAAAAACTTTAATCAGAGAGCATATTTTTTTTTTTAATATATTCTACATAACAATAAATCAGTAATTATTAAATATAATAGGTCACTAATTACTCGTTGAATTTTTGACAATTTTACATAGTGCCTTGAATTAAATTTTTACACATGATGTCATTAGAAAAATATGTTAAATATTAACAAATATTGTGAAGCTCCAAAATCAACTGGTTAAATTATTTTAAAGATATAATATTAACTCATTTACAGATATTACATTTTTCATTTATGGAATATAATAATTACAATTTTTTTTCCACAAATATACAATAAATGATTTCTTTTTACATCAATTATTTTTTACTGTCGATGCTCGTAACATTTTGACATTAATAATACTATTATAATATTATTATTCAGCAATTAAATTGACAAATTATTAGTAAATATATTTATAAAAATTTCTTCATAGATATTGTAATTAAAAAAAAAAAAAGTCAAGTTTATTTATATGTTCGCTAACGCTGTCCGTCATTACAATTATTGATGTTATGTTATATAATTTAAAGACGTGTCTTAATAACAATTATTGTGACACATAGTATGAAAAAAAATAATGAGTAAAAAATCAATGCGTTTTATATAAGTATGTATAAGATTCGTATCTAATACAAAAAAAAATGTTTTTTTTTTTTTTTTTTTTTCCAGCTCTCTATAATTAAAAACGAGAGACAGAATAAGGCAAATAGAATTATTGAACTACAATTCTAATGATATTTACAACGACTTAAAACGTATTTAAATTAAATGATCAATCGCAAAATAACAGTAAAAAAAAAAAAACAATAAATAATCACTGCATAGTCTTCGTAATTTATCACATTAAATATCTCATGATAAAATCACTTGTACGTTTTTATATAAATTTTTCATTTTTTTTTATGATAAAATTTTTTGTTTATAGTACGCAAGTCGAGCTGAATAAATACACTCACCAACAATAAGTGACAACGAATTTATAAGTTTGCCGATGAATTTCCGTTCCCCGAGACCAAAGAGTCGAGTAATGAAGCTTTGCTGTCCTCTAGGTCCAATGAATCGGTGTTGTAAAATTCATTTGTTATATTTTGACCATCTACATTTTCAGCACCTAAATTGTTGGCGGCTAAAAGCATGTCATCGTCAAAATCTATGAAACTGGATGGAGTATACGCCATTAGTTCGCCACCAGTTGCACCATTAGCTGGAAATAAATTAAAATTTAATAGTTTTAAATTGAATAATTCATAGAATTTATTTATATAACTTACCATCTACTGGATCTTGATCTTTGTCGTGATGTGTTGGATTTAATTCGGGATTCACTGGTATTCCGAATGACATTGGATCATTGCTACCAAACAACTAACAAAAACAATAAATTTTATTTATAAATAATAAATTATAATTTATAAATGCCACGGTTTGAATCAGAAAATAAATTAAAAATATCTATCTAAAGATTTGAAATTTTAAAACTAAAAAAAAATAAATATATTTATGAAAATTGTAACCGTAAAAAAACCTTGGGCCATAGTTCCTTCAACGAAGCTTATACTCCAATAGTTATCTAAGGCCTTTAAAAAAAATTGTCAAATAATTGAAATATAAAAAAATAAGGTACCGTACCCGGTGTTGTCCGGATCACCTTTACTTTTTTGTAATTTTTAAATAAAATGTTTTTTTTTTGGCATACCTTTTATTTGAATGGTCCATTTTAATCACCGGGAAATTTACGAAATTTCACAGGCGATTATTTAATAATTATCGAACACTCAATACTTATACTGTAATTATACAAGTAAATAAACAAAAAAAAAAGTATAACTGTATTCTTACACGTACCTCCATCAGCGTATTGGCGTCAATAGTGTAACCTTCATTGTGTAACATTTCACGCAAATTTTCCAAATCGTTGTGCATTGCTTCTAGATGACTATCCATTTCTTCCCTAATTTTTTTAACAAAAATATTAATTAGTTAATTTAAATTCTGAGTTAAATAAAATGACCTAAATCATTGCTCTTGATATGGAACAATAGTGAGATTTAAAAAAAAGTCAATGAATTAATTAATTATCTAATGTCACCCAATAATTTTGAAATTAAATGTTAAAGTTTAGTAACTTTTTTAATATTTCCAAGATATTTTATAATCCAATTAGAAGAAATAAGAAAATGAAACCTAAAATCTAATGATTAAAAAAAAAAAAAAAAATTTAATTAAATAAAAAGTATGAAGATTTACAATACATTACAAAATATAAAATAAAATTTTATCATCATATTGATTTTTGACCACCTGTGTAATTAAAAAACAATTGACTCCAAAAATTCTATTCTCATTTGTTGAAGTGTGAAACTCAATGTCCATTTCAAACTTACATCGATCCTAACCTGTAAGCAGTACTAGACATATTCGAAGGACTGACACAACTCAATGACAAATTATTGGACTTGCTGCTGGAGCCTGGATCACCATTGTTGCTCGAAACAGCTGTCCTTTGTTGTTGAGTCGCTTCCAAAACTTGTTGCTTCAATTTATCAGCCGAAGAGTTTTCTTCCTTATGGGTGTCACCTTGAAATTCTCCTGATTTATTCATATCAATTATAGAACCATCAGGGTTGAGTAGGATGTCTGGAATAATAAGCATATCACCCAGATCAACGTTATTTGACTCGACGGCGATCTCCGGAGCTTCTTTGAGATCATTGTCAACTTCGTCAGAGTCTTCATCCAATTCTGATGAATCGTTCATCTTGTTGATATTAGCTGCCATTGCGGTGAGCTTTGAACTTCTGACAGTCTTGATTGGGACCGGTTTTTTCTGCAACTTGGTCGTTGCTTTCTCCACTTGTGTCGGCGCTTGAATGTCTTCTGGATTGACTTCAAGCATTAGCGTTTCTTCCCTAAAAATTGATACAGCGATGTCTTTCCAGTTCTTTTTTAATTTTGTCATGTCATGAGTGTGTCGATAATTTTATAATAAATAAGTATTTTAATTGTCTCTAACAGCTTACAGTCATTATTATTACAACTATGTTTAATATTTAATTAGCTAAGCATGCAATTGACACTTTTTTTTTATTTACAAATGTTAATGAATGAATGAATGAATGAATAACGGAATTAATTATCTTGATCATATAATTTTAGAAAAAAGCTTAGAGCTTGTATTTAGTCTATTTTTTCTTTTCTTAAAATTTTTTTATTTTTTAAAGTCATATCAGGAGGTCCGAAAATTTATTCATGCTTCAATACACGGCAGAAAATAAATAAATTAATCATTCTATCCAAATAATACTACAGTAAATGATGAATTCTTAATAGAAACTAAATGACTCAATTTATTATATTTATTATAAAATATGTGAGTGAGAAAAAATGACAACCTGGGCTCTTCTCCGATATTCGTTGATGGAATCAGAATTTTGACAGGCACGGTGTTTTTCCTCCTGATAAATATTAAACAGTTATTGCTACCTATTTTATTCAAAAAATTTTTCACCAAAAATAATGAAGCAAAAAAAGAAAACTTAAATAACGGAGAAGAAGCTAAAGAATTAAGGAATTTTTAGTTGTTCTGCCAACTAAACAAAATTAAATAATAATAAACGAATAAATGATTAACATAAAATATTAATGAAGATATTTTTCTATAAATAAATAAATGAAAAATGAATGCAAAATTAGTTCTATTCTACTAAACAATGCTGTGAAATTGTTTCTAAAAAATGTAACCCCAGCTGCAAAGAACGACAAATAAATCTTATAAAATAAAAAAATAACTAAAAAAAATAAAATAAAGTTTTATAAAATTATTATGGAATATTTTTTATCTATTTGCTGAATAAAATTTAATCTTATTTTTAATCTTTGCCTTTGCTATAAAAAGAGCTTTGATACGATTATCAACATAAAAAAAAAAAAATTAGATAAAACAAGTTAAATTTATATTCACATACTTCTTTTTTGGCTTCAAAACAATTTTTTTCTTAGCAGACGTTTCCTGAATTTCTGATGGATCGTTACTTATCGGCGCGTTTGGAGAGAAATGAACTGTTTCAATATGCTCGTCGTTTAACGTAGCAATTGATTCTGGACTTTGGACACTTGCGTTGTGATTTTCCAGCATCCTTTGTAAAAAATTAAAATCAAAATAATAAATAATCATGAGTTGTGCTCAGTAAAAATATTCATCTTCATCAAATAAAAAATCACTCTTACTCAGCAACGATGTACTCGGAATTGAGATCGTCAACATGGTGCTCGTGTTCAGTAGCATCAAGCTCATGGATCACCGGTCCCGTAGGAGAAGCTTCGGGCTGAAAAATATAAATAAAGCTTTAATAAGTATTCTTGAAAGGTAACTAATCTAAATTAATAATGCTTTGATAAAAAGCTCACTATAAGTTTATCTACTTTCATCTGTTTGCTGCGTTGATGATTGTCAATCATCAACGGATATCGTCTTTTCACCGGAAGCCCACCACTTCTCGATGGCTGTACAAGTGTTACTAAGAAATGTATAAGCTTGTTGACTATTTCTTGCTGCTTGAGATGCTTTCGCCTCAACATTGCTAGTTCCCGCCACAATGCCTCGTTCTCTCGCTTCATAGCACCAAGTCTTGTGTCCATATGTTCCTGGCGTCCTCTCATACTTCTTACTTCGCTCAGAACTTTATTCATTACTTCTGTTTTTATTGGTGGATGTCCATCTTGACTTTTACTAGATGCAATCTAAAGTTAAGAGTACCAAGTGAATTATTAAAATCAATTGACTGTTTAAATATCTTATGGCTGTGTAACATAGATTGTTACGATTATTGATTACAATGAATTTCGATTTAAATGTTACAAGTTTTTTTGTAGATAAAGATGATAAATGACTGTAATTACTAAGTATTCAAATTCATATTTTTTTTTTTTTATGAACTAAAATCATTAGATAGTAACTTGGATAAACTTTGCTTTGAGACAACGTTACTTTTCTTACTGTCTTATTATTATTTATGTGCAATTGCTACAATTTTTATAATTAATATTATTATTATTTTTATTAATTAATATTATTTTTTTGGGTTGCAATTGCTAGCACATCAATGGTCTAGTCATTTAGCAATCTATCTATTAAATTACTGTACTATTTATAAGTCATCTTGTTATAGATCACAAATTTTTTTTATATACTAATTATTGTAACTATCAACCCTGTTAATGGCGTAAGCTGTAGGGTTTGTTTAAATAAATAAATTATCATTCCCATTACTGTATAACTATTATTATTACTATGTATTCATTTATATGTAATAAATAAATAAATTCATAATTAAGTACCTTTCTTTTAATGTGTTCTAATAAATAAGGATGATCTTTAATAAAATACTGATGCGCGAATTCCATTTCATCTCTTTCGCATTTTAGACCTCCAAGTTCAACGGAGACTTTCTTGTGGAATCCATCTATGGATGAGAAACAATATTTATTATAAAATTCTTTTGTTTTTCCAATAATTTTTATAGATACAATTACTAGTAATTATAATAATAATAATAATAATAATAATAATAATAATAATAATACTACATACACATATTTAATTGTCGAACAAAGCTAGCCATGTTATTGTGTTTGTAATAATGGGGTAATAGTTCTCTGGCAAATTGTGCCGGATTTCTGATGAAAAAACTTCTTCCATTCTGTAAATACAAATTAAATTAATTAATCAATAATTAGCAAAATATTGCAGTTAAAATTTAAATTAAAAAAGATCTCATGTTTATTTTTTTTCCTTTGATTAATAGTTTTTTTGCAATACTAATAATTAATTATTGATTCAATTAGATATTATATAAGTAATCCAAAGTAACTATTTCCTTAGATGCGACTATAAAACGAGTTTTGGATTATCTAAGACTTATTAATGTCATACGTTAGTACATCAATAAAGATACCTATATTGTAGAAATAAAATGAAATTACTGGATGATAAAATCGATTGACTGTTCATATTTCGGTAGTCTTACAGTATGTTGATAATAAGTGTAAATTGAAATAAAGCCTTATATGATGATACATATTGAATAATAAGATAGATATATGTTATTGTTATTAGTAACCAGGTGTCATTGCCCGAGTGATGGATCTAATAGTGGGCAACTATTGAATAATTTCCAATAAAAATTTGTCCTAGCGTGATTGTATTGCCTAGTTTGATCGGTATTAGTGAGTGAATCACGAACAAGAGGAGGCAAAGGAATTTTCCACGTAAATTGTACATTGAATAACAAACCAAAACGTTTATACTACGTTTGCTAAAATAAATTTAAGAGGCTATGTGAAAGGACAAAATAACGCGCACTTAATAGTAATAATATAACAGTGACATTTTACATGTCAATTAATAATCGGTAAATAATTTGACTTGCAAATAATAAAATAAGTTTGCTTAGTAACAGTGAGGTTCATAATACGAATATATAGATAATAAGATACTCACGGGTGCCCAACAAATAAGGTCGTCAGTCTCAGGATCTTCGACTAATTTCCAAAGTTTCCCAAGAAATGCCGGGACACTTGTTTCCACTTCCATTACAGTATGCATTGTACCGTCACTACAATGTAAATTCAAATTTATAAATAAAGTTCACTTTAATAATATTAACTTTTAAATATTTGTGTTTATTTTTTTAGAGAGTATGTCCTCACATTTCACTACATTTAACAGTAATGGCTCCTATATGACGATGTTGTTCAGAGCCCGATAGTAACGCCGCGGTGCAGTAACACAATCAAATACACCGACAGCTATGTTATATTACGTACTACGCACCGCACTGTCTGTTCGCTACTCGACTACCAAACTGCAAGCACTGCTCAACTGTCTGCCGCTCAACGTATATAGACTACTGAACACTTTGATCTGAAAATTTTTTAAAACTTTATTAATTAATATTTTATTAATTCATAATTTGTCACTTGACATTTTTAATTACTAATAATGTCACAAATATTTTATTATTTATCACATTGAATTATCATTATTAAAAATAAACTATTTTATTTTTATCAATCATACGGTGCATGTGGGTCGAGGCTCAAAAATGAATCAGCAGGACCGTAGCTAATGGAATAAAACAAAATCGTAAAACCGCTAGTGCGCAAAATAAAATAATATTTAACAACACTGAAAAAAGGTATCAGGTGAGTTTTGTTAAGGTCAAAATAAATATGTATTGTCATTATCAAAATACCAATAAATATAGTTAGGCAGAGCCAAATCGAGTTTAATTTGAAATCTATACTCTGCGCAGTAACACTATAGTAAATTCCAAATTTTCCCGCGCAAGTGTTGCTTATATTGATGTCCGGTGTATTTATAAAAAATAGCCAGAAAATAAATTAAAACAATTATAATAATAAAGTTAGGCGACATTTTTAATTTTGTTTCATTTATTAAATTTGAACTAAAAATGTTTTTTTAAAATTGCACTTACAGTTTTTCTAATTTTCTACATATCAAATTTTTTTTTTCAATGACATTAAATATTTAGCTGTGACTTTACAATTTTTTAAATTTTCTTTAATAAATAAATTAATGGCAAAAAAAATTATTAAAAAAATTAACTTATAGAAATTTGATAAAATTAAAAATGTAATTTTTTAAAAATAATTTTGTGGAACAATTTTCTTGTTAAGGTAGTACTACCGTTACCACAAGTGTCAAATCCCAAAACCTAACCTTATTTGATTAACGTAGTAGATTTCCCTATACTAAATTACGTTGGAGAAAGAGAGACAGAGATAAATTTTGAATGTTTTTTATTAATAAATATTCTCATATTCTTGGAAACCATACTGATTGTTACTAAATATGTTCTAGATGTTATTTCCTCTCGTTGTGTTGATTTTTATAAGAATCTCAACGTCCAGTTTTGTGAAATAAAATAAAGTCTGTGATTCTCCATAAGGATCAATGATAAAACCAAAAATATGTAAATATTAATATGTAATATCTTTTTTTCAGGACTTGCTCGGCTTCCAAAAATTTGACTGCTTAATTATGATATTATACCAAGTACCAATATGCCAAATTTCATTAAATTCTGAACGTCAAATCTAAAACCGGTAGTACTACCTTTTAAAGAAAATTAAAAAATTATCAAGTGACAGCTAAATTTAATGTAATTTTTTAAATTGTTTTTAATAATTATTTTCAATAAAAAAAAAGCACAAAAATTTTTAAATCTCATCAAATTTAATTTTACATTTGGTATTCTAACTATTATTATTATTATTATTATTATTATTTTAATTGACACTGAAAATATTTCTCATATGGCCGTTTTTGGAGTTGTGTAGTAGGGAAGCTGTGTTGCTATGGTTAAGAATTTGTCTTCAACGGACCAACGCATTGAACCGCTCGACCAACATCTAGTATTCTGACTATACTAAATTGAAGTATTGTAATAACCAGAATATATACGTACTTAATTTTATACTTTTGACTCAAAATTTTTTGGAGCAGTATAGAGTATACGTTTAGTGCTGAGCGAGATACCATGTGTTAGTGAAGCAATACCAAATTTTTTTCTTAGCACCAGTAATATTGGGAGCAGAAAAATAAGCTTATTTTTCAGTGAGTAAATAGTTACTTCTAATTTTCCAGTTATATTTCGTACTACAATCGAACAAGCCACAATGGAAGAGCACCGCAATAGTCTTAAACCATCACAGTTTATATCAGCCGATAATCTAGATGGGCAAACAATGTTAAATGCGCTCTTGGAAGATGCAGGAACTAGGGTGAATTGAATAAATCAATTGATGGGAAGAATTTAGCAGACCACGAGGTATTGAGGAGATTAACGTCTCACGTCGGCAAAAAGCTGGACAAAGCCGCTGCTGAATTGGAGGAGATGAAAAGGGAAAATCCACGTGGATATGAAGAAAAAAGAAGGCCTTTTTTCGAGCTCTTATTAAATCTGACCGGGGAAACTGCTCATAAATTGGTAACTGAAGAAAGTAGTGTCCACGAAGCTACTGAAGAATCAGAAACAAACTCTAACGTCGAAGATAAAGACATTAAAGGAGATGGGGAGACTGCACCGAGGGATCCAGACCATTAATGGAAGCTGCTCATGAAGGTCTTGAAGGAATGGTGGCTTTACTCTTAAGCCAGGAAGCTAATTAAAAATTATATATTTATGTACACTATCGATTGGCGTAAAATAAATATATTAATAAATACAGTCTATTAAATTATATTTAAAATAGCAGTCATCAATTTATGTCTTTACAAATTTTTTTTTGTTAATGTTTTATTGAATTTAAGTTAATTATTAATTTTTGACTTTTTGCAGAGCAAAATTTACCAAAAAGTCGTAATAATGGCTAACTTTAGTACTATATCAAGGTTTGCTACTTTTAATTTCAATGTCATACTACGTTAATAATTACTCTCTTAAAGCGAATTTTTGATGAAATAAATTTAAGTATCAATAATTGATCTTAATCAATAAAATCTACCGGTAGCGCTCAATTAATTACACTAAACAATTTTTTAAAATTATTAATGTTGAATGTATGTATCAAGCAGTAAGTATTTTTTGTTTTCAGATTTTTAGAGTTGAGAAATATGTAAGTCTTTACCGTTTACTAACTGATTGATTTTATAAGTAATTAATAATAAAAATTTGTTGTTTTAATTACTCATTTAATAATCTGACAATATTTATTTTATCTGCGAATTGAACAATTATTTTTATGGTTAATTTTGTGAGTACATTTTATCTAAGATAAATATTAAATTGTTAAGACATATACCTGCTTTGAGAAAATTCTGGAATAATTAATTGTTTTTATTGTTATTAAATGATTTTATTTAAAATTTTATTGTTTATTTATTAATTAAAAACACTTTTTAAATTGTTTTTTATTAATTATTATTACGAAGTTCGTAACAAAATACGAGTGACATAAGACGCATAAGACACATAAGTACCGCAAGTAGTTCCCTCTGACGGATGGAAATTGAACTAAGCTGACTCTGGGGAAAATTTAGTTAATAATGAAGATTTCTTCTTGTATTTCTTGGGGGCAGATTTTGATGCAATAAGTAATGACACTTGTTTATAATCACACGAGACTTAATAAACTCTAAAATATGGCTGAGAATCTCGCTGCGAAATTGTGCGCGCTGATACCAAATGAATCTGTAAAAGGTAAATTTTATTGAACAAATTTAATTACAGTTATTTAAATAAAAGCTTGATATTTTTTAAAACAATTATTAAATCTGTTGATTCAAAGTACATTACTGTCATCTTATCGATTGTTGTGACAGTTGTTGACATGTCAATATATATACATATAAATAAAAACAATTTGATCTGATAATGCTAAAAATTATCACTTAAATATTTAAAATAATAGAAAATAAAATTTACGAATATTGACAAAATGGATGAAATTATTCATTAACGCTAAGATTAATAACTATCTAAACTTTCTCCAATTAGTACAAGGCCTGAAAGATAATTATTTATCGATTAAAAAAAAGTTACTCTCAAATGCTGACAGATTAACTACATGTTGATTCATCTTTAGCTTTAAGAAAATATACATTGTTATTGTTAAGGTTTTCATCGGTATATAATATTTTAATGAAAATTAATTTAGCAGATATTTGATAATTTTAAAAATTTTTTTTAACAAATAAATTATGACAAAAAAAAATGGATATCTAGAAATTTAAAAAAATAAAAAATGTAATTTTTTATAATTAATTTAATTGTTAAATAAAATTAAAGAGTGCTAACTTTAATGTCATAATATTTTACTGATAAGACTAATCAATTAAAAATAAATTATTTTCAGCTGAGCAATGGAAACTTTTGGGACAAGAAAAAGATTGTTCACTTTTAGTTGGATGGACAGAAGAAAATCAGACTCTTGATGATTCATTATCATCGCACTCGGTGATTGGTCATTATGATCGTAGCAAGGAAATTTTGGAGGTAAAAATGCTGCTATCTAATGAAACTGAAGTTGACAGACATTAAAAATTATTTTAGAATTTTATAATAATTAAAATGTTATTAAAAAAAGTTCAATTAAAAAATTCCACATGTGCAAATTAATGAAAATGACAAGTGAAAATTTTTAGAAGCATTTTTTTTTTATTGTAATTGATTTGTTATTAAAATTTTAAAAAACTATCTAAATGAATCATCGATTAATAGACTTACTGATTAACTCTATTACTTGTAGGTATTACATCATTTTCCAAGTGTGCTGAATATCGTCCAAGCGACAATAAATCAAAATCACACTTTGCTTGGATATATAGTGAAAGAAACAATAAAAGTATCCAAAGAAAATGAAGATCCAGAAAACAAAGACCAGAATGAAGAAGAAAAAAAAGATCCTCTGTCAGACGCTTGTTTAGATTCTGAATTAGAAGTCTATCAAGCTTATATCCTAGAATTAGAGTCAGACGACAAGAAAATTCATACTGTGATTACCGAACGGCGTAAGCAAGTTCGTATACAATTTTTATACAAACAAAAGCGTCAGACAGGCTTAGACAAATTTATAGTATTAATTCATCACGAGTGTATAGTAATGTACACTGCGCTGTTCAACAGTTCATCTGATATAGATACAATCAAGGAATTAAAGTCCGAGACCATTGTAAGAACGTTTACTTGGGCTCAGTGGGACTCGACGAACCAAGTGCTGTACCATATCCACAACCGTCGTGCTCCAACTAGTTTAGTAACTGAAGAAGACAACGAAAGTCGTTCTAAAGCAACAAACTCTTGTCCAACTCTCAGCGGTTTGCAATTCCACGATGAATTACCACACGAAACGGTGCTAAATATCCCATTAAATTTACCCCGACCGCCCAGCGCAGACAATTGTGGGACTTACGAAGATGATGTGATTCCTCTGAGGGTTCACGACTGCTCCCTGGACCTGATTGTGATTTCAAATTCTAAGGGGATGGTCTGTGTATGCCATCACTATCTCTACCGACCGATCCAGCCGCCTCAACACGTGCTCAACGCATCGCTCAGCGACTCCAATACAGTTCACTTTGCTTACTCGGTGACTTTGCTCCATCACAGCTGCGTTATACACTGTGTCGTGCCTGGAATTCCCTGGTCTCAAGCTAAGCTAATGCGTCCTACCTTCGCTATCGCTGAAGACTACATGGTAGTCTTTGTTCAAGGATCATTTACGCATTTGCTAGAAATTGGAGCCAGTCACGATCCAAGCTGTCATATTCTTTGCGGATCTTTGCCAACTATTTATTCTCATGCTTCCTACTTGGTACCTCTGTTGGACCTTAATAGCAATAAAACAGTTGCTAATAAAAAGTCAGGTTTTTTAGAAGCTCAGGACGTCGCTAATATTATGACAATAGATTTACCAACGCTAGATTTAATTCCGCTTAAAGTCACTGCTGATTTTTTGATAGACGTTTTTAAGAAAGAGTCTTCTGTTCACGTACGACTGGGAATTATTCATTATTTTATGTGCCACAAACACGATCTAGAAATAGTTGCTGGACTTATATCGATAATTGCCGAGAAACCTCGTGCTCTTGATGTCGTAAAATTCATGCAAGAAATATTAATTGGTAATTCTTACTCTTTGGTGCAAAAAAATTTACTTCCCGATGCAGTCCCGCTGTTGTCTCTCCTTCCTATCACAACTGTCGAAGAATGCGTGGGGTATGACGCTAAAATTGGTGAGTTTAATATAACACTGAGTCATGAAAAGTTATGGAACACATCTGTGATGCTGCTGTCTCCTCAGCAGCGATTGGTACCCTACCGAAGTGATTTATGGACACGATTATGGGACAATCTTGGAAAACGAAGCGAAAGCAAGCCCAGATTTAAATTCAGCCAGATAACTGAAAAATTATTGGTGTCTTTGGCGTGTTATCAGCCTGAAGTACTGTCCAGATCCAGTACGCCAATGTCACCAAGTGGGGGATTAGTTTTAGCTACTGGATCTTTCGGTGACTTGATGAGCAATCGCAGTAACAAAATTCTGGACTCTGCGCTACCGTTTATAGAAGTGGAAAATTGCACTGCCTCACGACAGGAGCATATTGTAGCGGTTAACCTACGGGAATTATCTATGTATCTGTTGAAACATGCTACTAATGCTCCGGCAACTTCCTATGTGGCCTGTTCACCTCTTCAAGTTCACGCGATGGCTACTAGACACATTGCGGCTCAGCTAGAAAGCTCAAGGTCACTTTGTCAGATGCTTTGTCGGGCAGCTAATGTTGATCCGCGGCTAGAACAAGAACGTGGCTTTGTTCTTATAGATCAATTAGATGAAATTAGAAGAAATTTACTTTTTACTCTACTAGAGCGCTATCGTTATGCTATTGAAATAATAGCGTTTCCTGTACCACAGGGATTTTCATCATTTTTTACATATCTAGGATATCGTAGTCTTAAGTATCCAATGTTTTTACAGTACGTTGAACGTTCTGTTTTTGAATTACAAGTTGATGTCACGAAAATTATTATCGCAGGTAATTTACAAATTATAAATTATTTTACTTATATTATTAAGAGAATAAGCAAAAATTTGTGGCTATTTTTATAACATTCTCATCAATAGTCATTAAGAAATGACCTTGTATCTCGTGAACTATTGACATTTTTAAAGATATAAGCTCATTCCGATGTTATACTCATCGAGACCTTTCATTTGAGTACCCACATCAATTTTTCATATATTTATATATCATTATATATATATATTATATCAAAAATGCAAGTGGGTACTCAAATCAAAGCTCTTGATTAGGAATAACATCAGGATGAGTTTATATCTTTAAAAACTCTAATATTTAAGAATTTTAATATATTTTTCATATTTACATATATATAATTGACATTTTTAAAGATATAAGCTCACTCCGAGATTAAACTCATCAAGACCTTTCATTTGAATAC